TAGTTTTTTTTAACTGAGGAATAAAATACAACACCTTCAATTTCTTTCCGAAATATGTACGTGTTTAGCTTAGATGAAACCATAAGTTTTACTAAATATGTATAGCTGTATATATTCGTTAGACCGCTTTTACAAAAAAATGTAATTTACAGCGCAAATTGTGATTCGCAACACGTGCTGTAACTTTATCGCTAGCACCCATTGAGGCATTATCTTAAATTACCATTTTTTAAAGTAGGACAGTGAAGCGAGAAAATATTAAAGAAAAAATTTATTCGATTGTTTGTATGCTAATATCTAAAATCACAATCTTTTGGAATTTAAGTGCACTTTTGCATCATATTATTTAAATGCCTCTAAGTATGGTACTATCAACTTGTGCTTTGAAATCAGTATCAGTAGTAAAACAATTTTTATCTGTAGGTACAAAAAACTTAAGCATATAATATGTTTAGTAAAAATAAATACCGTTCTAGAATCAAGGTCCATATGTATGAGTTACATAGCAGAGAGATAAACTTATCATCTAAAGACCTTGCACGGGGTCGAATTTTGGTCTCTACCTCGTCATTTTTATGTACAAACTTATTAGAAGGTGAGGAACCCGCATGTGATAAATGAATCAACAAATAACAGAACAAATAAATAAATCTTGCTAGAGGTGATTTAAAAAAAATTCGTTTATCAATGCAGTGCAAGTGATAACTCTATTAAAATTAGTCATCAATTTATAAGATAAAATAGCTTCTTGATAAGGTTGCGATAACTGGTGTATATAAAAAGAGTTGACCGTTTTTTTGCGATACAGTGAGAGTAGGACTTAAACCATGACTTCTGTTGTGTATACTTTTGCGCTCATTAGCGTAATAGCAAGTGCTGTTGCAGGTAAGCATTTTTTTTTACATATTTCATCAATTATACTTGTCAGGCGTAACTTTTTCATGTTCTCCGATACTTAATGACATAAGAGTTACAAATTAAAACTACCTTGATTTTTTATTCATTGTTTCAACAAAAAGCTGAATAATTTGGTTCATAAAAAATTGACATATTCAGAATATAATGCACCTCAACAAACTGTATGAAAAAACTTTTAGCAAAAACATATTTTAGACTTAACGTGTAGCACCAACTAATTTTTTGCACTCTGCACTATTTTTTCAAAATACGAAACAATTTAGTTTATAATAAAGTTAGCCAATTTGAAATGGGCATATGGTCAATTTGATCTATTTATCTTGATAGCAGTTTTTGAATTTATTATTTTTGAAGAGTGTACTAATCTTAGACGTCACATGAAGCTATGCTAACTGAAAATTTCATTTGAATCACACAATGCACGTTGAGAGTAAAAAATAATGTGTTCAACAGAATTTTCATACTAAACGATTTTGGTTTTATAATAGCCAGAAATAATAACTTGGAACGATCTTATTCACAACAATTAAAATTTTTTATTTGAAGCTTTGCCGGCGGAAAACTACTTAAATATTGCATCAGGGAAAAATTGCTCGAAAAGTAGTTTTCTTAGTAGTCGCATAATTGACGGGAGGGTCGCACCAAATGGAAGTTTCCCATACATGGCGTCCCTTCGCAAGAAGGAGACAGGAAAACACTTTTGCGGAGGTTCAATCATTAACGACCGATGGATTTTGACAGCAGCTCATTGTATTGCTGGGTAATCAAAACAACCTTATCGCTGCGAATGACGTTCAATTAATATCGACACTCGAAATATCATACAATTGATTTTACAGTCAATCTGCTTACATCAACTACAAAGCATACTTTGCATAGTTTGTAACTAGCCACGCTTACCTGGGGCTGCCAAGTAATTACCAACAATACACTTAAGTACCTCCAGCTTAGCCATCAGTTAGCCACACGAGCGATGACTAGTTTTCTTTCAGACCAAATCATGCAATGTACTAATAATAATAAATATAAAATCAGTCTCATCTGAGTATTTTTGGAAGGAATTTTGAGACTATCAGACTAGAAGTTTGGACATCGCAAACAACTCATAATGATTTGAAACAAAGAGATAAACGCAAAGACAGTTTAAAAAATGAAGTAAAAGTGTCCGAGCGATCCAACCCTTAAAATGAAAGATTGTCACTAGACTGGTGTGGTTAATTGAAGCTACAAAATCATTTAAAAAAAAAATAAAAGCTTATAATGTTGGCATAAAAAAACCACTTGTACAATAAAAATTATAAAGCATACAGAAATATCTAATCAGTGATCTTTAGATAGAATGACGATTGCATTCTCGAGATTTATTTTACGATAAATTGTTGTATTCTTATGTACGCAATGACACATGTAATTAAACATTTTTTCAAAGATTTATGTTAGATGTGAGTAAACAAGACTTAATAATTCGTAAATATTTATTATCATGTGGCTAAAGCTTCTTAACTTACTATATTATTGGGTGAAACTGACAATGTGAGTTTCCCGTGTAAACTAAGCCTAAGTGATAGCATAAACTGCTGTGGACAGCAGCAAAAAATTAGAAGTGCATATAGACTAATGAGGCCAAATATGTTATTACTGATGACAAAGTGTAAACAATGATTTTTCAAGACTTTATTTCATCCAGTCGTGATTGTTGTAACTTTTAATAATAACAACTACATACATACAATAATAATAACTAATAACAATAATAGTAATAATAATGTCGAGCAAACTTTAACGAAACAAAAAATAAATAGAACCATGCAATTTACGAATTGATGTCTTCTGGTCTGAAAAATCAATAAGTGGAAGAAACGAAATTTGTACTATACAGAAGAAACGAAACTCAAAAAGGGAGATTAAGTGAAAAAGGGGGCGTGAAAAAGACCATCAAGCACTTGCCCAAGATTTGCAATGCTAACCAAGGACTGCTTGAAACAGAAATTAATTTCTTGCTAAGCGTCTGGAGTAGATATTCTAGCTGCATTACCAGATGCCACTTCTAGGACGTGGCCCTTTCTGAAGTAATGGTACGAGCATTACCAGAGATAATCTCGTTCACCACTAGAGCAGCTCTACGTAGTTGTATTGTAATTTTTTTTTTGCTGTTTTTTAGCTTTTCTTTAATTAAGGTTTTTCAAAAGGTTTCAAAATTTTCGTGATTTTGTCTTGAAGACCTGCTTTGCAGATGTCATCTTAAAAATTTTTTATATAAATTAAGGTCAAGGTAATAGTATTTGAGGATGATTTACTAACCTCTAGACAAAGAATTGCGACTACTTTTTTACTTTAAAAAGTAAACAATTTCGTTCGACGTACGTTGCACTAAAAAAATCCACAGCATTAGGTGAGCGGTATTCTGGCACAAGAAGTTAAAAGGTACGTAAAGTTATAAATTATTATTCTTATTTTTCTCAATAAAATTTTTCACAACATTGTGATATTATAAACAGCAGTATGTTGTACAAGACTTAAAATAAGTTATTGAAATTGTTTGCAAATAGCAAAGACTTGGTTGTTTAGCACTTGTGCAGAGGTGAAGTGGACCAAAATGAGAATCTCGAAAAAATCGTTCTATTTCGCAGTTGAACATAATACTTTTGTAAAAAAAAGTAAATAAAAGTGCATGTTATTAACAATAAGGAGTAACAATAATAGACATTTTTAAATGAATCACTTGCTAAATTAAATCAAACGCAACATACTGGTGTTTAAAAAATAAGACAACTTTTTCAAGTCTGCATGCTGCATACATTCAAATTAAATTTATTTTGTTTTATTGGTTCAATATTAACAATTTTATGTTTACAATCGTCACAGTTTTAAATGTGCTTGGAAATTTTTCGTTATAAGAAAAAAAAAAAAAAAAAAAAAAAAGAATGAAGCTAAATATATTGTTAGAAATAACGAATTGTCGTTAGAGAAGTAGATGATGATCTATGAATCTCTTTAGTAACGTTAACAAATGCTTTGTGCATCAGACGTATGTTGGCTTGGCCTGTTTCAAAAGTGTTGAAGTACCTGCTCACACATCAATGTCTGTTGGTGAATTTTTGACGAGAAAAAAAAAAAATTGTAATTATACCCCTTGACATTGGCCAGACGTGACTTTTTGTGACTTTTTTCTGTTCCTCAAACTGAAGAGACCCATAAAGGAACAAAGATTTGCAACGATGGAGGAAACGAAGACTGCATCGCTGGAAGAGCTCGCAAGTATTCGCTATGCGCCTATGTCAGGTGGCGCTGTCGAGTGAGAGAAATTGGCCCTCGCTAAGATCGCCAGAATACACGGAGCCTTATAAGAAAGTTTTCTAATAAATTTAAAAAAAAGTTACTAAGAGTGGACTGACCAAATGAATCCGTGATTTGATCGTGTATAATGTTAGTGTACAGTAACAAATTTTTTTTGGTGTTGTCATGTGTACTACAAGATTGGAAAAAATAAAAACATAGATTGCGACTATGATAACATAGCATATAATATATATAANAGACTCTGTTAATATGATAAATTCGCACTTTTAATTTCGAGTTTCTGTATGAAATTTTTTTTTGTTTCAAATCAACGATCTAAATACTTGCCAATATTATAAAAAGTTTTCTCATTTTAAAATGCCGTACTTATAAAAGATAAAAATCAAGCATTATACAATTTACTCTTTATGTAAATTAATAAAATAACTATTAGATATTTTTCTATTAAAACTTTAACAGCATATTTTTCGCTTGAGTAGTAACCTTGAAATATACTTTTCATGTACACCTACAAATAGAAAAATAGATATACTTCATGTTACTCCAAAATTTTTCAGCACGTGTGGATAACTTCTGCTTTATCAAAACGTCTTTGACAAAAGGATTGATAACAATATTATTTCATAAATTACATTTATTAGTGTTGTAGAATTGCTACAAACTACTACAGTGGCACAACCGCTGAAACGGTGCTAGTGTGCTCAGTCAAAACCGTGAGAAATTTTTTTAGGTGTAGATTAAATGAACATTACGTTACTTAACGTACTAATACTTTTTTATTATTGATATTGCCAAGTAGTATGATAAATTACCCTTAATTACAGATGCTGCCATTCACGTTATTCAATAGTTGTTTGAACAATTGCAGGAATGGTCATATTTTCCAAGAATTAACAATATATATACATCCATGACATACAGATTACTTACGAACAGTGTAACGAATTCAACTCTTGTGAAATGTCTTACATTTATGTGATTGCTTACAGCTTCGCCATTTTATATTTGAGTAATAAAGGTAAGATGATTAATTCAAGTATACGTACTATGACTCCTTGTTTTTATGCAGGGGTAATCATACAATATTATGAGACAAGACTTTGATGTCATATGCTAATTAAACTGTGCTTGGTACAATTTAATAGTATTAATTTTTTATTAACATTAATTATACAGTTGAAACTCTGCAAACTGAAAATATCAATGGTGGTAAAATAACAACGATTGAGGAATATCCCCATCACGTCTTCGTAACTACGGAGAGAAAAATATGTAACGGTGCTATTATCAGTGAATGGAATGTTATTACTGCAGCACATTGTATAGAAAATAAAAATCGTGAAGTCATAGCAAATGCAGTTACAATCATTGCCGGAGTTAGTAACTATAAAAACAACTCAACCTTCAAATTCGTTGCCGTTGCTGAAAAAATTTACCTACCAACGGATATCGAGTTAATAAGTGTTACAGGCATGCATGAAGTGGATATTGCCGTAATTAAGGTACTTGTTTCTTTTTTTAGCAGATTTCTTTATTGAAATTAGTTTAATAGTTTTTTTATTTCACCTATTTTAATCAGCTCGATAAAGCCATACCACTGGACAATGTGCATCTGAAAAAAATCACATTGCCAGATCAGTATGTGAATTTGGATTCTGAATTTTACATTGATACAGAACCTATTCTCACCGGCTTTGGTTACAATAAAATAACCACTACTTATTCTAATGGAAATATCCATGTGAAAGGAAGATCTACTGGGGATCTACGGTTTTCAAAGACACGTGTTTTGTCATTAAAGGAATGTTTGAAGACACGACCCTTAGGTACAGTGGACTTTTTAAAAAAGTTCTGTTCTAAAATGAAACAGCCGGCCAATATGGAACCGAAAGGAGCCTGTTTGGTAAGTTGTAAAATTTTATTTTATTTTGTAACTTTTGATTTTAAAAATGAAAAAAACCTTAATAGATGAACCTCTTTGGCTTCTAGGGCGACAGGGACATGGGATAAATTTTGTTATTTTCTGGTCGTTCTAACCAACACAAAGGGTTTGAGTCTATTAGGAGTCAATTAATTAAAGTTGAAAGTTTGTTAGTTTTTTTTAACTGAGGAATAAAATACAACACCTTCAATTTCTTTCCGAAATATGTACGTGTTTAGCTTAGATGAAACCATAAGTTTTACTAAATATGTATAGCTGTATATATTCGTTAGACCGCTTTTACAAAAAAATGTAATTTACAGCGCAAATTGTGATTCGCAACACGTGCTGTAACTTTATCGCTAGCACCCATTGAGGCATTATCTTAAATTACCATTTTTTAAAGTAGGACAGTGAAGCGAGAAAATATTAAAGAAAAAATTTATTCGATTGTTTGTATGCTAATATCTAAAATCACAATCTTTTGGAATTTAAGTGCACTTTTGCATCATATTATTTAAATGCCTCTAAGTATGGTACTATCAACTTGTGCTTTGAAATCAGTATCAGTAGTAAAACAATTTTTATCTGTAGGTACAAAAAACTTAAGCATATAATATGTTTAGTAAAAATAAATACCGTTCTAGAATCAAGGTCCATATGTATGAGTTACATAGCAGAGAGATAAACTTATCATCTAAAGACCTTGCACGGGGTCGAATTTTGGTCTCTACCTCGTCATTTTTATGTACAAACTTATTAGAAGGTGAGGAACCCGCATGTGATAAATGAATCAACAAATAACAGAACAAATAAATAAATCTTGCTAGAGGTGATTTAAAAAAAATTCGTTTATCAATGCAGTGCAAGTGATAACTCTATTAAAATTAGTCATCAATTTATAAGATAAAATAGCTTCTTGATAAGGTTGCGATAACTGGTGTATATAAAAAGAGTTGACCGTTTTTTTGCGATACAGTGAGAGTAGGACTTAAACCATGACTTCTGTTGTGTATACTTTTGCGCTCATTAGCGTAATAGCAAGTGCTGTTGCAGGTAAGCATTTTTTTTTACATATTTCATCAATTATACTTGTCAGGCGTAACTTTTTCATGTTCTCCGATACTTAATGACATAAGAGTTACAAATTAAAACTACCTTGATTTTTTATTCATTGTTTCAACAAAAAGCTGAATAATTTGGTTCATAAAAAATTGACATATTCAGAATATAATGCACCTCAACAAACTGTATGAAAAAACTTTTAGCAAAAACATATTTTAGACTTAACGTGTAGCACCAACTAATTTTTTGCACTCTGCACTATTTTTTCAAAATACGAAACAATTTAGTTTATAATAAAGTTAGCCAATTTGAAATGGGCATATGGTCAATTTGATCTATTTATCTTGATAGCAGTTTTTGAATTTATTATTTTTGAAGAGTGTACTAATCTTAGACGTCACATGAAGCTATGCTAACTGAAAATTTCATTTGAATCACACAATGCACGTTGAGAGTAAAAAATAATGTGTTCAACAGAATTTTCATACTAAACGATTTTGGTTTTATAATAGCCAGAAATAATAACTTGGAACGATCTTATTCACAACAATTAAAATTTTTTATTTGAAGCTTTGCCGGCGGAAAACTACTTAAATATTGCATCAGGGAAAAATTGCTCGAAAAGTAGTTTTCTTAGTAGTCGCATAATTGACGGGAGGGTCGCACCAAATGGAAGTTTCCCATACATGGCGTCCCTTCGCAAGAAGGAGACAGGAAAACACTTTTGCGGAGGTTCAATCATTAACGACCGATGGATTTTGACAGCAGCTCATTGTATTGCTGGGTAATCAAAACAACCTTATCGCTGCGAATGACGTTCAATTAATATCGACACTCGAAATATCATACAATTGATTTTACAGTCAATCTGCCAATAAAATAGTTGTTGTTGTGGGAACCAATCAGTTGACTACTGGTGGGAAAAAATACGCTGTATCTTTTATTATGCATCATGAAAAGTACAACATCGATGGTGTGGTAAATGATGTGGGACTCATCAAAGTTTCCGAAAGCATCAAATTCAACAAACTTGTGCTTCCCATCGCTTTGGCGAATTCTAACATTGACGAAAATGATAATCCAGCTACCATATCTGGATGGGGCCGATTTTTGGTAAGTAAAAGCATCAGTGTAGAGTATATTTAGTAGGAAAAGCAATTGTCGTCTCCAAGCCACACATGACATTATTGTAACTTTGGTGCCTTAATTGTAGACAACTAGCAGTCTCCTTCCAAATGACATGCAGTACATCAATACTTGTTTGATGGACAAAAAAAGTTGCATGAGCGAAGTGCCAATGGATAATAGCTACCAAAAAATATGCACCTTCACACGTTTTGGACAAGGCGCTTGCAATGTAAGTAATGGATATTTAATCATTTAAATAGAAAACAAATAATAAACACCGTTTTTCATAATTTATATGTATTTTTCAGGGCGATTCCGGCAGTCCCCTGGTCGCAGATGGTGTTCAAATAGGAATCGCTTCCTATGTTATTTATAGATGTGCATCTGGTTTCCCTGACGTTTACACTAAAGTTTATTCTTACTCGGGTTGGATCAAATCAACAATCAACACGCACTAAACATTCAATGACTAATTAATTATTTGTGTGAATCATTGCTGTAGCAGTGTCTTCTCGAGCACCTAAAATTATTATTTATTTCATTTAATTTATTTTAGCGAGTTTCATTTGTAAATAAACGATAAGAAGAAGTTGTGTAATAAACTGCTTTTTATGAACAGATTACTTAAATTACATTTAAACCAAAATTTTGATTTACTTTTAGTTATGTAAATAGCAAGTAATGACTGTAGTGCAAAATTGAGGTTTTACTCACGAATTGGACTGATATCATAGAGCTTCTATGTTGTCCAAATCATACAACTAAAAGCTACATATTAAGCACGACAATATATGTTACAAAGTCTTTATAAATTTTAAAGACCAGAGTAATTTTTGTAAATCTATGTAAAAATTTAATTTAATTAAATAAACATTTCTTAAATGCAGTAAAGTGTGTAATGTATTCGCGATTTACGTTATCACTCGCTTGTTGTTGACAAACAAAGCGGTATCAATGTACAAGTATACGCATGTTAATTTCCTACGATAATGTAATCACTGACCCACTTACTGTTTGAAACTTACTACTGGTTTAGATTTCATTCGACCTTCAAATTAAACTTATTTTAGTCAGCTCCAATTTTACCAAAAAATAAAAAATCGTAAAAAAGGTATTATGCAAACAAGCAATGCAACATAAATTTATTTGCTTTTTGGATCACAGTACACAAATTTTCATCACAGAATACTTTGTAGCGACTGGAGCGTCGCTGTTTATGAGCACTTTTTCGTTATTAAAAAACAAAATTTGAAAAGCTATAAAGCATTATCAAGTGGATTGAACAAGGAATACTTGTTTGACTCCCGAGAATGGAATGGATATAAAAAGATGTGCAATGAAATTCACACCCTTCACAGAGTAAAATAAACATGTAAAAGTTATTTATGAAAAATTGTGTGCGAGAAAAACTGTAACTTTTGTCAATAAAAAGCAAGTTTACAGCACGACATCGACAACCAGCGTCAATTTCCAAAAGAGCTCTCCACCCTCTTTCTCCTAACAACGGACCTTTCTTCTTGGCACTGGTCTCGTAAGTTCTCGTGAAAATTGGAAAATCCAAGTGGTAAGAACTTCTGGGCTGCACAGCAAATCAATTATAGTGAGATTGCGGGTTACCGATTTTCGATAAAACTACATTCCGGAAAAATCTTTCGCGAACAGTGATGCTACATGCACAGTGGCAGCAACGGGAGAAAGAAAGGAAAAAAGAGGTGGAAAAAAATGGTCCAGCCAAAAGCCAACTCTTTGCCTAATTTTAAACTGGACAGGTAATTCGAGAAAAGTTTGTACTCAAGCATTTAATTTGCAGGGTAATTGGCCAGATACATGACGGTCACGAAGAAGAAAAAAAAAATCTGTTTTAAAGCTACGTAAAATAAGTACTTGTAATTGAAAGCAAAAGAAGATAAAAATTAAGAATTATCCAGAGCCAAAACCTTATGTAAGTCTTTGGTGATATAACAGTAGTATTTACATTCTTTATGTTAACGGAAGTTGAGAACTAAATGTTTGTACTGTGAGGGATGTGTGGCAACGATAATGGGGGATGGGGGAGGGTACGTCAAAGTATAGTGACAGGGTGGACTAATGATTCAGGCTAAAAATTTTTTGTACACTAATGTTGTACTAGTCTGATTTTGATAGGCTACCAAACCTCTGCAATATTTATCTGACGGAATTTCCAAGGTGCCTATTCGAAAAAAATGCTGGAGACAACGAGAAGGGGTGGAGCTCTAATAGATCCAAGGAGTTCAAACAAAGGGACAAGATGCTCGGCAGGGTTGGATAACAGGTTTTCGCGTGTTGTGTCAAGTTTTCACCACCGTGGCTGATGCGATCTATAGTTTTGGGGTATTGAGAGCCCTCTAATTTACGGGGAATGTTCTAAGAAAACCAAGATCTTCCCCACCAGTGTAAGGGTAGTTTTAAATTACGTCCATTGTATTCTTGAAGGATTTTTGTGGACTTTCTATTACCAAAGTATACACTTATGCCTAAATTTTAGTTCTTAATTAATTCTTTTAAACCATCGTGTTAAAGAATTGAAGAAAAATTTTTATTGAAAAAACGATAGAGTTTTTGCTTCCTATTAAAAAAAATCGAAAAAAATTCTCAATCGTCTACTTTTATGCAATAAATTTGGTAACATTTTCAATATTTAGTAATCGCATCAAATTTGAAATTATACATATTATACATTTATAAATTTATTTTTTAATCTTTCAATACTTTCTTAAGCTTCTAATTACACTCAAAATATGTTACCACCGTATGAAACTAAAATAATAAATCCTGGAGTACATGGGATAAATTTTGTTATTTTCTGGTCGTTCTAACCAACACAAAGGGTTTGAGTCTATTAGTTTGGTCTTTTCTAATGTAAATATATATTTGATCGATAGGCAAATTGCAAGGGGTTTGAGGTAAAAAGTTACGTCTAATTGTTTCATTGCAAAATTAAAAAATTAAAGTTTCAAAGTTTGTAATGACAACACAGATGGTATAGGTACATAAATTAATCTCCCTCGTCCAACTTCAGCTTGCGCAAACTTTGTCAGGTGAGAAAATCACCAAGCGATAATTAAACTTATTTCAACAAGCATGAAACCGTGAGAGCTGTAATATATGCACGAAGCCGTTTGCTTTGCTTGCTGTAACAATAATCATGCTATGGATATAAGGGCCCTGTATTGCGCAGCAGAAAAGTAACCAAGAAGCTCCGGCAAAGTATGACGACCGTAGTTGACTCTCAAAAGTTTATCCCTTATCTGATTCGCTCCAATTACCCACACGTCGGATGATCGGAAGCGTGTATTCAGTAATGGTAGGTATTTGCGTCGAAGTGGAAAGGAAGTTTCTGTAGCATCCTACGATCTTACGAGCGAGTCGCAAAAGAAGTAGCTTACGTTACTCTGCAAATTAGCTGATTATAAGTTTCAAAGGTGAAAAAGATGACAAAACTGATTCTAAATTATAACAGACATGTGGTTCTGATGCTTTCATGGGAAACCATGACTACGCTCGCAAAACTATGTTGAATCCCTTTTGAAGAATATGAAACTATATGGAGAATATATCTGCGTAATTTTACACTTTTAAAGTGTGTATAGTATTTATCATTTACGCATAAAAAATGTATTATAATAGCACTTTTCAAGTGTGTAAGCAATAAATACACTCCTATAAAGTGTCAAATTACTCAAGTTACGCACATTGCTTATAAACCAATATATTTAGCAAAACGTTTTCTGTTCTAAAAAAAAATTGTACATCAAAATGACTTAAAATGATACAGTCATACAAACCTAATGAAATAATTAAAATGAACAACTAGTATGTACAACTGATGAGATTAATACAACAGAAATAAAATAAAAATGTTGTTGTCTTTAAAGTAGGGTGCATGAAATAATTAATGGTTTTTTTTTCAGGACTTACGGGGAAGAAATTCCAGCACTCTGAGTTTCCGTATGATATAATTATAAATAATGATACGTATTTAAGATGTAGACTCTGTTAATATGATAAATTCGCACTTTTAATTTCGAGTTTCTGTATGAAATTTTTTTTTGTTTCAAATCAACGATCTAAATACTTGCCAATATTATAAAAAGTTTTCTCATTTTAAAATGCCGTACTTATAAAAGATAAAAATCAAGCATTATACAATTTACTCTTTATGTAAATTAATAAAATAACTATTAGATATTTTTCTATTAAAACTTTAACAGCATATTTTTCGCTTGAGTAGTAACCTTGAAATATACTTTTCATGTACACCTACAAATAGAAAAATAGATATACTTCATGTTACTCCAAAATTTTTCAGCACGTGTGGATAACTTCTGCTTTATCAAAACGTCTTTGACAAAAGGATTGATAACAATATTATTTCATAAATTACATTTATTAGTGTTGTAGAATTGCTACAAACTACTACAGTGGCACAACCGCTGAAACGGTGCTAGTGTGCTCAGTCAAAACCGTGAGAAATTTTTTTAGGTGTAGATTAAATGAACATTACGTTACTTAACGTACTAATACTTTTTTATTATTGATATTGCCAAGTAGTATGATAAATTACCCTTAATTACAGATGCTGCCATTCACGTTATTCAATAGTTGTTTGAACAATTGCAGGAATGGTCATATTTTCCAAGAATTAACAATATATATACATCCATGACATACAGATTACTTACGAACAGTGTAACGAATTCAACTCTTGTGAAATGTCTTACATTTATGTGATTGCTTACAGCTTCGCCATTTTATATTTGAGTAATAAAGGTAAGATGATTAATTCAAGTATACGTACTATGACTCCTTGTTTTTATGCAGGGGTAATCATACAATATTATGAGACAAGACTTTGATGTCATATGCTAATTAAACTGTGCTTGGTACAATTTAATAGTATTAATTTTTTATTAACATTAATTATACAGTTGAAACTCTGCAAACTGAAAATATCAATGGTGGTAAAATAACAACGATTGAGGAATATCCCCATCACGTCTTCGTAACTACGGAGAGAAAAATATGTAACGGTGCTATTATCAGTGAATGGAATGTTATTACTGCAGCACATTGTATAGAAAATAAAAATCGTGAAGTCATAGCAAATGCAGTTACAATCATTGCCGGAGTTAGTAACTATAAAAACAACTCAACCTTCAAATTCGTTGCCGTTGCTGAAAAAATTTACCTACCAACGGATATCGAGTTAATAAGTGTTACAGGCATGCATGAAGTGGATATTGCCGTAATTAAGGTACTTGTTTCTTTTTTTAGCAGATTTCTTTATTGAAATTAGTTTAATAGTTTTTTTATTTCACCTATTTTAATCAGCTCGATAAAGCCATACCACTGGACAATGTGCATCTGAAAAAAATCACATTGCCAGATCAGTATGTGAATTTGGATTCTGAATTTTACATTGATACAGAACCTATTCTCACCGGCTTTGGTTACAATAAAATAACCACTACTTATTCTAATGGAAATATCCATGTGAAAGGAAGATCTACTGGGGATCTACGGTTTTCAAAGACACGTGTTTTGTCATTAAAGGAATGTTTGAAGACACGACCCTTAGGTACAGTGGACTTTTTAAAAAAGTTCTGTTCTAAAATGAAACAGCCGGCCAATATGGAACCGAAAGGAGCCTGTTTGGTAAGTTGTAAAATTTTATTTTATTTTGTAACTTTTGATTTTAAAAATGAAAAAAACCTTAATAGATGAACCTCTTTGGCTTCTAGGGCGACAGTGGTGGTCCTCTTGTGTTAAAACGGAACAATGACTATATTCTTATTGGAATATTGTCCTCTGGTATTATAGATTGCGATGAACGGATTTTGCCAGCAATGTACACTAGAGTTTCATATTACAGAAGTTTTATTGACGACGCGATAGCTGATAAGCCTAATGCAAAGAACATTTGTTATTCTTTTCGAACTAATAGATTATGTACCATTTCGTAGAAACAACTGTTTTATTTCAATACTGTCTTAAAAAATGATTGTTTTTAAAAATAATTAAAAAAAAATCTATTAAAATTGATTAACAGTTGTTATTTTTATGTTTAACCATCAGTACAGTGTTGTTGTGTAAAAGAACGTGAATTACATAAAGATATAATTTATCATTAATAAAAAGGGTATAGATACAAAATAACACATTTTCGGTCACAAAACACAAATCATCGATACTTTGATACAGATGCAGGGCAAGACCATAGTACAATTTAGAGGCTAATGACCTACTATACAAATAATACAGTAAATTTCACTAAAGTTTTATTAAAAATTCTCGAAACAGTCTTGCAACGTATTTTATCAACACATTTGACTTTAAAACATGTTTTTAAATAATATATTTAAAAAATATGTATTAAATATATTTGCATTTTAATAAATCACAAAAACTTTTTAAAACACTTGTTATTTTGAAAAAAGCTTTTTTAAATTTTCAATACTAGGCAGCTTACATCATATGCCAGCATAGTTTGTACGTGTGAATATTACGTCTATCTATCAATGCGAGTAAATTTTATTGGTATTGATGAAACTAATATTTTTAACAGAAAACGTTCTGTTTCACTACCAACGATTTTGCACATGAGGCTGACTTAAACTGATACCATTATACAAACCTATTTAAATAAACAAAACGAAATAAGGATAAGTACGAATGTTGAGATCAAGTAAACAAAAATAAACGAAAAATGATCTAGTCTTTAAAGTAAGGTGCATGAAATAATTAATGGTTTTTTTATTTTTTCGGGACTTGCGAGAAAAAGATGCAAGTGCCCTGATTTTTCGTACGATGTAATTGTAAATAATGACATGAATTAAAAATGTGAATAGTGTGAATATCATCTATCATACACAAGAGAGAGAGAGAAAGAGAGAGAGAGAGAGAGAGAGAGAACACGAAAGAGAGGGAAAGAGAGCAATAACAAGTGTCATCACACGATATCTGTCTTTTTATCTTTGCCTATCTCAGGGAGTTCAGCCTCTATTTTATTCCATATAAATATTAAAAAATTATACATGTATCTTAAAGACATACAATAATAAACCTGTTTTTGTCGATGTAGCCAAAAAATTCAAATATTATCTTAGATAAGAAATAATTAAAAGATTGTTCGAAAAAAATTTTTAAATTTTTTGAGCAATTGTGATATATTCAAGACTAGATAATACATATACACGATTTTTGTACACCTACGAACAGTACATTGAGTTCTACTCTGGTAAAATGTCGTACATCACCATTATAATACGCAATTTTTTAATTACATATCTATGTAGCTATGGTAAGATAACTACAAAGTTTGATAAAGTATAATTTTGGCTTTTGTACACGTACATTTTTTATTAAATAATGTAAGTCTTACAAATCAAATACTCGTAGGGTCATTTAACAAAACCTGTTTGAATATTTAACTAAAACTGTCTATACCTTGCGTTTCCGTTGCATTACTTTGCTCACAATTATTAATCAAATTATTCTACAACTACTCTTAACTGAATAGTTAAGAATAAAAAATAAAGCTTTAAAAGTTTCAAGATTTAGTTGAAAAATTTTCTAACATTATAAGTTGTAAAAGCGTCATGTTACAACATGGACATAAGTTCGGTTTTCTCTTTGTTTCCTTCGAAGTCCAGTAAATTTAAGCACCTAAAAGTTTAATGCACTGTCTTGAATGTTTACTTTTTTTTTTTTAATGTGACCCATGGATTAAGTTTTGTCTTCGAAAATGCAAAATGTTCTACAAGCTTCCACGTTTCACCTAAAAAAGATGTTAACAACCTTTATCTCACATATTCAGGCCCCACACAGTTTTGATTGAGCAACTATTAAATTAATATTTGCTAGAAATTATCAATTTCATGTACATCTTAATGGCAGATACCACCAGTAGTAACTATTAATCTATTCAAACAGCATTTTTTCCACAGTTAATACACTTCAATCTGAAAATATCATTGGTGGTGAATTAACAGTGATTCAAGAATATCCCCATCATGTCTTCGTAGCTTTACCGAATAAAATATGTAACGGTGCTATTATCAGTGAATGGAATGTTATCACTGCAGCTCATTGTATTAAAACTAAAAATGATCGATACGAAAAAGAAATGGTGACAATTTTAGCCGGAGTTAGTAATTATAAGAATAATGTAACATTTGCATTTCATGCTCAAGTTGAAAAAGTCTTCTTGCCCGAGGATATTCAATTAAAAAGCGTTAGGACCATATACGAGGGGGATATTGCTGTACTTAAGGTATGTCATCTTATTTTTCGTAAGTCTTTTTTTTATGAGAAATAGTGTATTTAATAAGCTTTAATTCCAACTGTTTGAAATAGCTCAATCAAATGATACCTTTGGATAATGTACGTATGAAAAAAGTCACATTACCAGATCAGTATGTGAATTTGAATTTTGAATTGTACGCCAATACAGAACCTATTCTTACTGGTTTTGGTTACAATGAAATAACCATTAGATATACAGAGAATAAAAAAGTCATTCGTAAAGGGATGTCTACTGGGGATCTACGATTTTCAAAAACACGTGTTTTGTCGTCAGAGGAGTGTTTAAGAACACGCCCTGTAGAAAAAGTTAATCTTGAAAAAAAATTATGTTCCCAGATGGAGCAGACCTCAAGTATGATACCCAAAGGAGCCTGTTTGGTAAGTTGTATAATTTTATTTTATTTTGTAACTTTTAATTAAAAAACTGAAATTCTGTGACATCCATTGGATTTCAGGGTGACAGTGGGGGTCCCCTTGTATTGAAAAATAACGATGAGTATATTTTAATTGGAATATTGTCTTATGGCCTGAATACATGCGATGAACGGATTCTGCCAGCAATGTACACTAGAGTTTCATACTACAGAAGTTTCATTGATGATGCGATAGCTGATAAGCTTAGTTTAATGAATATCTGCTATTCTTTTACGGCCAAGACTTTCTGCAAAGTTCTACAAAAAGTGCTGCCTTAGAAAAACACTCACTTAAATTAGAACTCTTAAAGTCATTTTTGACATTTGGACATGAGTACTTTTAAATAAAAATAAAGAATTCAAGATTTCTAATCATTATGTCAAAGTTTAAATATGATATACCTCGTTTCTTTTACAGTTTTACGTCCTTCTTAGGCAAGTTACTCTATAGATAAGGAAGTCTTTTATGTTTTGTATATCATAAGACGATTGGGTTATTGGCCACATTTATGGAGGACTGGCACAAAAATTGCAATACATCAATTTACTTTTGAGTATAAAGTTGTAGAAATATCGCGACCACACATTATCATCAAGTGCATTTTCCGTAAAACTTCAACATGTATTTCAATTCATATCCAACATTACTTTATTACTGTTTGGACAAGATTAGTAGTGGTACTGATTAAAATGGGCTTGTAGAAGTCCAATAACGCATCAAATTTAATATACACATTAACGTTAATTAGTTATTCCGATGGATTTGTTAGTTCACCAACTTGAGAAAGAGCCAAACTTACTCAAGCTTAAATAGTCTCAGACTCACTATACGAGGAATAGTGGGAGAGAGAATGAGCGAACAGCAAGAATTCCCAGCTTGTAAACTCCCCAGAGCAACCGACTTCTCCGAGCAACTTCTCTCCTACCGTCAACCTCGTACCTGTGTTTATTCTCCCTTTCTCCATTAACTGTAGATTTCGTTTATAACTTGTATAATGACAAGTTTTTATGATCACTCGAAATATTATCTTGATTGGTACTTACTTCTTTATTGAAAAATAGCATCACCAAAAAGTAATCTGCTGAAAATTGAGCATTGCTGAGTTTCATTCCTAATACCAATGGAAACAAAAGATTGAAGCTACAAGAATTTTTTTTCAAGTAATATATAATTTTGTAAAACGAACAGATAAATCGTGCCTTCTGCAAGACAACTACATAATATAAGGAAATCCACAAAAAATTTCCGCTTACATCCCCCATTTTGATGAAAAAAATTTTTTTGAGGCACACCCTTGAAATTGGGCTTACTTTTACTTTTAATGTGATAAGGATTAAATTTTTAACGTGCACGTAACACCCCTTTCCCGCGATTTTCATGTAAAAATTATGTCTAAGGCCCGGTTTCAAGGGTATACCTCAAAAAGATTTTTTATGTACACGAGAGACCAAAACGGGACATTTTTAATGGACATCCTCATACACATCTAGTTTCAACATCAGGAGTTTACCACAGTCGATGAATTTTACATGAGTTAACATGCGTATGAAAGTATACACACACACATTGTTTGTCAAACATAAATACAGGAAGATAACAAAATCGGTCGAACGGGTCATAGCTCCCCACCACTGCCGATGTTTAATCATCATAGTAGCAACTCGACGACCTACAGCTGCGGACGAGCTATTGCATATACATATTATACACAGACCGTCTTGCCTGACGTTAATAACCACGAGGACGCACTATCTCGCCCTTCGGCCCCATCCATCTCAATTTAGCTCACCCTTCCCCAGTGTGTTTTCCGAATTGATGCAGATACCTCGCGCTGAACCTTAAAAGTGAACGGCTTCCCTATCACTTTGGGAAGCAAATTAATTTGAATATTTATAAGGATTCTCCATGGAGATGGGTACACGCAGTTGGATTTTGCTAGTTAGTTTGCACCTGAGGATCGTTGGAGTAACTTTGGAGATGGGCATTGTCCGCCAGTGTTGAGTTGTACACACTTGAATGAGTAGCTCTCGAGACACTGTTTGATTATTATTATTTTTTTATTTTTTTATTTTTTCTTTCAATCATTAGTTATGCTTGCTTGTACGATACGATGTTGATCACGCTGCAGAAATTTAATGCACTGTTGTAGGCTGTTTGTGCATTTCTAATGTATGAGAGTAACATTACGAATCTATGTAATTTATTTCACAACAAGTCAAGCCTCTACCTTCAATCTCGCAGAGTTTGGTTCTTTCTTGGAGTTGTTTTTAATTTGCTCGTTGTTCAAACATTTCACCAATGTCTCTGAGATTTGTGAAGAAAGTAAGCCATGGTAATTTTTCACAAGAAAATCCCATTTACACCAGGTCACTTAAAAACTGCTCGTATGAAAAAAAAAAAAAAAACCCCTTGCAGCATTAAAAAAGTAACTTTCCTTGACAACCGGACGCTCTGACAACTGAACGTGGAATAATCGCGAGTGGAAAAAAAAATTCTTTTTCACCGCGGAATCTTGCACGGCACATCAGTCCAAGACTCGGCTATTAAAACCACGACGGCCTCGCTATCTGCTACGTCAACGTCAAATTTAGCGAAACGCGATCGTGACACGACAATGCAGGGGTTGGCGAGGCGTAGCAGTACAGGCAAAGTAACTCTAAAAAACGCGTGTGTACGTACGAAGCACGTGATATCGCTGTAAAGAAAGAAGGGGGTCTAAATACAGGGTATATATAGCGCGTGTACATGAAAAAGAAACCACCACGATGCAGCTTCCCGTCACAGTCATGTTTTCATTGTGATAGATGATCGGTTATGGTAACTGAGATATAGGTAATAGTTTAAACTAGTAGGTAGTAAATAAAGGACTGAGGTGGGGTCTACATTTTTTCTCATATTCATCGTTATTTTTATACGTACATGGATATGTCTATTAAGTTGTAAATCATAAAAGATTTTCTCATATCTCCAACAACCTCTAGCTCGTGTTAGTATTCATTACTTGTTTTCCAGCATAAAATTTTAATTTCCTTTGCAACAATTGTCTTTTGAATTTGATACAGAACTGCGTCGATATTGACATAAAAACAACGATGTTTTTGTGTTCACGAAGCTTGACTAGGTCAGTGAAGTATAAATGTTGGACACAGTTTCGTCATGGACTGGATAAGCTCATTGAATTCACATCGCAAACTGATGTATTTGGCAGGTCGGCCGAAAGCATTTATCACAAACTTATTATTTCTTAATTTGGATCTGACGGAAATAAAACTCTTGCCAATTCTCTTCGATCGCCCTACTTTGTTATTTCATCTGCAAATTCACGCGTAAAAAGTTGGCAGCAGCAGCACCTCTTTTGTTCCCATTTATAAATATATTCAGTTAAAATTCGTAAGTTTAACCTTTTCCAACATTTTATTTTCATCCAAGGAGAAAATAACTTTTTCTTCCAATCTACGTACATCTAAAGTGATCGTTAAAAAGAAGAGAAAAAAAGGAGAAAATTAGATTCATATCCATGATTGCCTGAAGTAATAAAAAATTTCTGAATCGTTTAAAAAATCAGATATTTTGTAGATAACTAATTATAACGGTGAATGCTACGTTAGAGCCAATACCTATATGAGATAAAGTATGAGTCACGATATGTATTGTGTCGGTAGTATATAATTACGTATGCGAATCCCACGAATAAAAAACACTCTATAAGAATAACACTTTTGCTGCTTAGTAATACTATTACAGTTCATGATAAGCAAAAGTTGTAATGTCGTACTTGCATCACGCATGTTGGTGAAAAAGGCTTAGTCACCCTCACCTTCAGCTAAACACGCACACAAGACATTCCTGATTTACCATCCTGATATTGTGTTATTCTTTCCTACCTACATCAATTAAAGTCAAGTTAAGACCAGCAGTAGGACATGTCCTTCGCACTAAGTGTTCTTATCGATTGTGTCACACGGCGCGATAAATACCTCCAGCCACACAGTCCTTAACGTCACCAACTATCTGACCCAGAGTAAGATTTTCTTGGTGCCTGATTTGGCTCCAGATTTTTTTTTCCAACTGAAGGCTGGATAACATTCGAGCTCATGTCACCAGGTTCCTGAGATACATTCCAATCTGAGGGGAGTATTTGTTTGTAGGGAGTTCGCACAACAGATTTGCATACCTGGCGAGTGAGGAGGGTAATAAGGGGGGAAAATGAATAACGTAGTAAAAGTAAAGACAAGGACACGTAAAAATCCTACAACAACGAGTGTAGGTGGAATTCAATGCAATACAATAGCAATTTGCAATGGAGTTGATCAAATTCAGTGCATAAGTAATACTTGAGTCAAGAGGCTATTTGCAAGCTTCTCAACCTTTTGTGAATTCCAAACTTCATGTACCATTTATATAATTACTAAATAAGACAAATACTATTTATAGGGTCTACGGATCGTCTGACAGTTTCAGAGTCCAGGTCAATACTCGTATTAAATATGTACGTTTGATACATCCAATCCAATAACCCAATACCCTTTAGAAATGTATGCGTTACCATCTCGGGGCTTTTAGCCGACATTAGATCATGTAGTATGTAACCTTAATCCATACGTGGTAGGTGTGCTGCCAGTTATTGTTATTAACTGGCAAGTTGCGCGCACTAATGAGCAGAACGTCTGGCAGCTCACGTGCAACCAAGAAACAGATTCACCCCTCACCAGCACACCCTAAACTTTGTCACGTTAACAGCTCACTTTGGTGTAAGTTTTTGAAAATAAATATTCTTTTCCGCCTTTGGGTGGTTTTGGGAGGCTGGTACTTCCTCGGGCGAAAAAGCAGTTTTCCGGAACTCGTTCGAAAAGTCTCCTTTACGAACCTCGTTACGTCCCTCGCCTTCGGGTCGGGCCGCAAACCTCTCGGTTCGCAAACAGAGACTTTTCAAACTCGTAGGAAAACTACTATTTTGTCACTTTGTTGCTATATCTTTGAACATTTCTGTAAAAGAAGTTTATCAATCGAAACACAAAACTGTTATTCACCAAATAAAGTCGAAACTTATTATTACCAAAAGCTTGCCATGATATGTTCTTCTACAACCTCGACGTCAAAATGAGCTTCGACGACCCTACACTGAATAATTAACCATATGTTTGTTTTCCCGATCCATCGAAATTTTACTCGCCATTTACACAAGCACGCGCATACATTCCCCAGACTCCATTTCAAACGATGCAACAACATCTCATCGAAAGAAAAATAAATACCCTCTAGCGATATAGTACCTATG